GCATTTATAACTCAAAAACGGCTGGATAAATTTTAATTATCTCAGATTTGTTGAATTTCTTTCCACACCGGATAGTAGAATAACTATTACTAATTCACTAGATTGTGCTGTAGGTCAAAGTCCTTACAAGACCAAAGGCCTTAAAGAAACGTTTCTCACACTGAAATCTACAGGCTGAAATCTTTTTGAACAATACATTTCGTATATTACATTTTTGCTGGGGGGAGGGGGAGACGAAGAGAGAGAAAGGAAGATGTTAGTAATCATAGAGCATTTTGATATTTATGTTGGTAATACTGTAAAACTGATCCAACAGCGCCATCTGTGGTGAGTGTCTTCTGTTCCGAGTTCAGATTGAGCTCAGTCGTGAAGTGCGTTTCAATGTAAGAACATCTAGCAATAAAGATCAATATATTAAGCAAAAGGCAGTTTTAAATTTCATTTCAAGACATCATCATTAACAGAAGATGAAGGCCAGAACAACGTCTGCCGGGTTCTGCTAGTAAATATCGCAAATACGATAGTGTCAGAAGAGACCAGAATGGCGACTGAAACGATGGCAACCGTGCCTAGGACGCGGTGTCTCCCGGACAGCCAAGAACCTATCCCACCTCTCCCCTATTGTTTCAGAAAATATAGCGATAATAATTCCGTACATTCGAAGAGTGAATTTGAATATCCCGCATATAAGGAAATAAATATAGGAAGTAACTGAGGCAATATAACTTTTTTTAGTAATATAAACAACTTAATGAGACATAAAACTGGTAGTAATATAACGATTTTCGTCACTAGCATGACATTAGTAGTAGCTTGCATTAGGGAAATAATTGTTTCCAAATGAGTTATAACTTCAAGAGGATATGAAAAATACAGAAATGAGATACTGGATTTTATACACATAGTGAGGTTAAGAATTGCTCTCGTAAGGTTTACTACATTTCTACTCAAAGAATGAAAAAATATACATACAAATAATAAGAATACTAATTGAGCGCGCATCGTCCGGATGGTCGAGATCCTTAAGGCAATAGTGTCGAGTCCCGCCTCGGGCATGGTTGTATTTGTGTTCGTCCTTTCACCCCTTATCACCACCATATCATGTCATCTTCATAGTTACCATAACGTCAAATCCAATAGTGGTCGCTAATGACCTAGATCTTGGTGTGGCCCTTAATAAAAAAAAACAAAATGAGCGCGCGATTTGGCATGATAATATTACTGCTTTTTAAAACAAAACAATTCTTACCCGAAGATAACTCGACTCTGAATAGATGACACACTAAATATACAGAACGTGCTTAGAAGTTTTTATATTTTTAATTAATTCTTGCTATTTTGCGAAAATAAAATCGCAAATTATCTAAAAAATAGTCTTGCTTGATGAAAATGTTAAAACGTATTGCCAGAGAAATAACAATTTTCGTGTTTCTCAAAATCATCATAATCAAGTTTTTGTCAATATCATCTTCATTTTAACATTTATCAGTATTGTTTTAAATTTTTGGCCCCCCTCCCATTCTACGTCTCCCTCTGTCGTTTTAGGTTCCTCTGATAATTTTGCACTTTGAATTTATGTTCGTCTTTTATCTGACGCCACCTAAGAAGATTCACTTCTGAATCACGTTTTCTTCCTACTCGCAATCATCTCTGGCAGTATTTTCACATTCTTTAACTTGAAAGTACGTTCATGTTTGCGTGATCGAGTTGTGAACTGTGAACTCTCGCATCGACGTTTCGCGGGTAACGTGGGAGAGAACTGCAAGTTTCTAAGACTGGCGAGTTTTTGATCAGAATTATTTTAATAATTGTCTCTGAAGTTGGATGTACATTGAATGCGTAATTCTGTCAATTTCAACTTTTTCCATTTCCAGCTTTTGCAAGACACAGATCTGAATTTGTCGGGCGACAATCCGACAGTCTGCAACGACTCATCGATAACCACACTTTGTAACAATATTTCGGCAACTATTATGATTATTATTATTATTATTATTATTATTATTATTATTATTATTATTATTATGTTGCGTTTCACTTACTATGGTGCAATTTGATTCAAATCCTCTTTTTAGACACATTCAAGGAACTAGGAATAGCCTGGAACCTTTGACACTTATTTTCTTTGCATTTTATTGTTACGTCAGAATATAAGTTTCTTGTGGAATAATGGTGTAAAAGACATCCTAAACGACTACCCTTAATCTGAGAATACCAGAAAATCTGTATTTTTCGACTGCGGTATTTAGGGGGAAAACGTTGTAAATGTGGAAACTTCAAGAAGTAAGAATTTCAAATGTGCAATTACACTTAGGGGGAAACTGCTACAGAAGGTCATGAGGTAATTAAAAATAAGAGGTCACTAAACAAAAGAAAACAAACATGGGAAGTGGAGAATATAAAGAGTTTCTAAGGTGCCTTTCACACGCAATATACATGATCTCCTGCCTGATCTTCAATCAAGTTTTCACTTCCTGTCTTATTCCCTGTTCCAATCGGGGAATTTAAAATAAAGTTTTAAACAATTTATTTTCAAAAAAGTACAAAACAACACAAGGGAATAGCAAAACGCGGGCTAGCAATCTTTCCGTATCAATGTTGTCGCCGGCTTTAAAAAAATGTATCGTAAACATTTTCGCCAACTAAGGGAAATTGTTGCCGGCTAAGGGAACATTGTCGCTGGCTAAGGGAAAAGAGATTCGCCACGTGATCTTCAGAATATTCTGCAACGCGTGATATAATATGCAACGCGCAATATGTGACCCTCGTAGATCTTGACTGATTCCCGGAGTGTCTGGGGATGCCTCGTTGGCGAAAGCGGATCTTATAAAACTGGAGCAGACAACTGCTGTAGCATCAGTCATCGTATAGCTTCTGGGTAAACATGGCCGGATGCACGAAAGTACTAGTGCTGCTGCTGGTGGCTGCGTTTGTAGTGGTGTATACAAAAGCGGACGAAAAACCAGGCAGGTGCCCAGAGCCTGGTATCGGCTTATGTATCGAAAGGTGCATGAGGGACTCCAACTGTCCACGCGATTTGAAATGCTGTAGCAACGGTTGCGGACATACCTGCGAGACTCCAGTTACGAACATCGCCAGAGGTTAGTGCAAATATCATTATTTTATTTTATTTCTTCGTTAGATATTCTCGTAGATATTTTCACTGTTGAAACACAGGGGTCTTACTCTTAGTCAAATTTTTGTAAATTACAATTTTTGCAAATAAAATAAATAAATTCAAGAAAAATGACTTCAGGAAGTTCAAGAATAAAAGGGTAACCTTAACATGACCGCATTACATGGTTGCTATATTTGTATTGTTCAGTATGTTATCATTACTAGCTCATAAACCTGCATTTAATGCACGGAAATATATTCATTTCTGTATGAAATTGCTGGTAAAAATACTTTAAAAATCCGGAAGAATTCTATTTTTCCAAACATATTGACTAATCATCAGCCTTCTTTCATGAGAGATAAGCACGGTATCATTGAACATTATATTAGGTAGGCCGTAGTTGCGCATGCGTATGTATCATTTTCGCCGATTCTTGTTTGTGATAGCTTTGTTTAGGAAAATTGCAGAGTGCCACCAAATGTGATCAGACTTATTTATGGCGCCATTAAGAGGCCGGATGATACCATAATATAGATGCATATCTCTCCAACTCATTGTTCGATCCATTTGATTTTGGTTTTAACTGGGAGAAAATATGCAATTCTTTAAGGAATGTCTTTACACACATTTTGATATCACGCATCAGTGTAATCACTGATTTTCAGACTGACCAACAAAAACTACAGAATTTCATACAAAAAGCAAAAACGTAAATACAATAACTGTAAGCTATAAACATAAAAATACAGTAAAATATAGAAAGAAGTCTATTACAGCGCAAGGTCAAATGAAGGACATCGCAGGACTTTGTGTAGAACAAGATTAATCGTGGAATATTCATTTTGTAAAAATATACTACGAATACTTAATGTGCTAGTGCGGTTTACAGACGGACAAGCAGAGAGACGGACGGATGGACGGACGGACGGACGGACGTTTTGAAAGCAACATTATTCTGAATCAAAGAAATTCAAAAGTGTATTACTGTTGAAATTTCGAAATCGATTTTCCCCAGCATTGCATAACTTTTTATATACTATTCACTCCACATTACGTTCCTATCCAAGAAAATAAATGGAGCGGTTTAAGAAGCTTTTCTGCGGCACACAGATCCGACACTATTAACCTCGTCTCATAGAAAGTCATGAATTTGCTCTCGCGTTGCCCGATCCTGGGGAATTCCAAATCGATACCAGGCAATTATTATGACACGCAGATTATCCTGATTGTTTAGTCATTCCGGGCACGTCAAGTACCAGGGTCATTAGTGCCTTAAGTGTAATATGTTTTTGCTCGGGAGGTGGCGGTGATCTTTGCCCCCGCTGTATGGCGAGATCTGGTGCCGACCTACAGTCGGCTAGCAGGGTTTTCCCCAACCAGGTATCTCGGAGGCACCGCCCCAGCTGGGACAAGCTCTTAGCACCTGACGGATCTCCCGGCATGTGTGATAGTGTAGTGAGTGTTGGTGTAAGCGTGTGTGTAAGGGGTGAGGATAGGACAAGGAAGGGGAAAGCGAGAACGCACGCGGTCCGTGGCCCGTTTGAAAGGGTACTGCTCCAGCATTCACATGTTGTTGATCGGAGAAACCACGTGAAACTACCGATTAGAGCAGCCGGCCTCTATAATTCTTCTCCAGAGAGCGATGAATTCGACTTAGCTAACAAGCTAGTGTCGAAAATCCTGCCACCGTCTGAACTCGAACCCAGGACTTCCCGTTCACAGGGACTGCAGTGACATCAGTTGATGCCGTGAGCCATCTCTCTCGGTGTATGTAGATTCTCAAACAAGATCGGATCGTGTAAAACGTGAATAGCACCATTCATCTTGTTCATGTGCTCTGGTTTAGACATTCGCATATACGCCGTGGTTCTCTTGTTTACAGCGGCTACACTTGCAGTGGAGAACACCGAGTTCCAAAAGCCAGGTCGGTGTCCGTCACGGCGACCTGGCCACAGAGGACAATGCGTGGAAAGATGCAGCGGAGATGACGGTTGTCCAGGCAATACCAAATGCTGCAGTAACGGCTGTGGACATACCTGCCAAGATCCGGAGTAGAATATCGCCAGAGGTTGGTACTTATGTAATTGTTTCTTTTCCTGGGTGCGGTCAGCTAATTGGCTACTCACTTTGGAAGATTAGCATGTTACAATTTTGATTTGCATGATCTGTAAATTTGTATTATCGCGTAACAAATGAATACTATTTTTGAAGACATTGATAATAAAACAGGTGAGATAAGTGAAACATTCCAAAATATATACTTAAGTAGAAATCTGCAGTAGAAAAATTCCTACTGAACGAAACCTACAAAATTGTTTCTCAAAACGGAGCAACCACAATATCAACTAATAAAATACATGAATACTGGAAGAAGATAATAGTATACAATAGTTATACAATATATACAGGAAAGCATTTCTTTACATTTTAAAGAAGTTGCTATCATATGTAAATTATCAGACAATTTATCCGGACACTTGTAATCAGTACTATAGACATCTCTCACATGGCTTAAAAACTATGGAGACTGGTTACTTTTTCCATTTCAACACACGTTGGAAATTAGTTATTTTTGCATATGATTGTATTTTTATACCAATTACACGGGAACAATTGAGTTATTTTTCAATAAAACCCTTGCTGCTATTGTTCAAAGACAAAGTACTGAAGAAGTAATAGAACTTCATTACTATTGGGCATAATTCTCTTAGATTCTACGACCGGCACATTTCTGGAGAACTTCATTTTAGTAAAACTCCTGTAAGTTATCACTTGTAGGGAAGGAAGTAATATTTATGGCAAAAGATTAGATCCTAAAGGAATGGTGCAATTTCGAAGCTTTTATTGATGAACGTATTAGTGAAAACTAATAAAAAACGCAACCTATTTACTGTGCTGAAAAATTAGAATTACAAGACGGTAAACGTGCAAAGTGATTAAATAATTCCTAAAGTAACACTTAAAGGAAGAAAATTTTGCTTTTGGTCAAGATAACGTACTTTTCGTTGCAATTTTTTAGTTTTTTCCCTTTTTTAGGCAACTTTTTAGAGAGACTCTATTGAGTAATTTTTGTTATTACATATAACGACAAAATGTTCTATGTTCTACCTCTTATGTATTACCAAGAGGTCGAACAAGGACAGGATCGAGTGGGTTATATTCTAGTCTACCAAGGGAAGATACAAATCCAAAAAAAGAGCAAGAAAAGTAATAAATAGTCAATATAGTTTAATTTTAATTCAAAGAATACAACACTCGGCACACACTTCACTGACTCAAGTGCGGGTATCTGATGTTGATCATTCTTGCGATTCAAAGCTTCTAGCCTAACTAGTATCGCTCAAACAGTACATACTAGTTTCATACCTTTTTCTATCTTTTGCAATTTTTAAAAAAATTAATGGTTTAACGAAAATGAGTCTTAATTTTAGCGTCCTTTGTTCTATCCGTGCAAACAATTTGAAGAAAAATTTTGAGCAGTTTTTAGACTTTGTATAGAAACTAAAGAAACTTCAAGCAGAAATTACGGGAAAACTAGTAGCTTTTAAAAAAAATTGAACATGACTTTTTTGAAAGATCTTATTTTTTGTAGAAGAGATTTCATTTAAGACAAATATCACTATTTTCAATATTGTACTTTTGCAATGATTTTTTATGTGAAAATGTCAGATTCAGAAACATGTAAGAAAAATGTCGAAGAAGTAAATAAATAAATTATAAATCAGTAGTGCTACAAAGTACATGTCTCTCGCATTATTACTAACTTTTACATTTTCGAAAATTGAAAGAAAACCTGCAACAATGAAGTGTCTTTTGCAGTATTCGTGGAAAGAATTTAAAGAAACAATATGAATTTGTTTTTAATCTTTAAAAAGTGCATTAATTTTGAGAAGAAATTACGCATAAACTGTTTTTTCAAAACCTTCCACGTGACTTTGCTTAAAGTTCTATTTTTTTGAACATATTTTATAGAAGAAAAAATGTCTATCTTTAGTATTGAACTTTGGAAAGTTTATTTTTGTGTATTTTCCGAAACTATAGAGAGTGGAACCCAAAAAGCAACCTGTTCCAATGTTTTTACAGTTATAAGATATACTATACGACAGTCTACTCTGAAGAAAATATTTGGATACATTTTTGAAAAGTTATTTGTAAAAAACATTTTCAAATTGATCTATTTCACACAAAATTACGCAAAACGACTCATATCTTCTAAAAATTGTTCATATCCTTATATTAAGGTGTCTTTGAACAACTGATTTCATCTAGAAAAATTTATATCTTAAATATTTTTGTTGTAGAAAGTTGCCGAAAAAATGTACTTTTGCAAGTTTAATAAAAATTGGGATTACAACAAAAATGAGACACGTGTCACTTTTGAAGAGTGTTTTACGCTATCCGAGAACTAAATTTAATCAGAAATGTTTTCTAGTTACATCTTTATTTCACGCCAAATTACATGAAAACTACTAATTTAAAAGAAATTGAACATGTGCTTATTTAAAGATCCGTCTTTTCGGAACATATTTCATTACGGAAAAAATCTCTATCTTCAATATTATAGTTGTAGAATGACGCCCAAAAAATTGCCCTTTTGAAATTTTAAACAATTTTGTGATTTCAACGAACATGAGAAATGCACCAATTTCTTACGCTATCCAAGAATAAAGATGGATAAAAAATGATGACATTTTGAACATGGTTTTGAGGCTTAATGTAAATTACTCTCAAAAATCGAAACTACCACTGGAGACTCCCAAGTCTCGAGTTCTTCATCGACCCCTTAACATTCTTTCCTAATCATTCTTTCGTAATCAGATTTAATAACAATTAACAATACCGCATCTCCACATTTTCGTAATATCTTTATTTACAATATACGGTGATTGGGAGATCATATGTTCGAAATGGTTCATGACGTTATTTAAAGATCTGACGTTGAGGAACAGATTTTATTCAGGAAAGAAATATCGACCTTCAATATTGTTGAAGGAAGACAATAAATATTTGAAATTTGCAATTTTCGAAAATTCAGTGAGTTCTCTGGAAATGGGACCTACTCGATTTTTAAACGCCCTTTGTTCTCTTAGAGAAAATAATTTAAACCAAAGTCTAGAGTCAAGTTGTAAGAAAATTTTGAGGTCTGAGTAAAGTATCCCCCAAACTCAAAATATCTATTTCACGATCTCTGGTTCGCACGTTGGAGCAGATCGAAGAATCGAAGAATATCAACTTTAGAGAAAATTTTCTGAATGTTTATTTTCTAGAATGTTAATGAAGACCACAGTCGTGCAGGCAGACTGTTGGGTAAACAATTTTTTCAATATCAATGACCCACAAAAAGTATATTCTGATTGCGCAACTTGTTAGAGAAAGTAATTTAAATGTATATAGGAACATGAATTACTCACCTTTTAGATATCAGGAACCCACAAATTGACTTTTCTGTCTGAAAATCGCCGTGTTTGTGTTGACGTTACAGTTCGTTCTCATACTACATAAATTAAAAGAGAAAGTAGAAATCACAGTAATGGGTCGCACGTTTTGTATATTAATTGATATCCCCTAATCCATTTCCTGTTTGTTTTTTAATTGGATACACATTTTTGACAGTTCAATAACATTTCGTTTCTGTTTCTTTTCACTCATGCGAAGAGTTGCATTATATCCGTATATTTTTTCAAGTGGGGATGTTCCCTCACTGAATTTCTTTCAGACGTAATCCTCTTCAGGTTCATAGCCTGTTCACAGAATTCTCTGGACTGGAATGAACCTGGGTGTAACGACAATTTTGAAGACGACTTAATAGGTACCATAATTGGCTTAGTCATGATTCATATTTTGACACTCATTGATGCCGAAGTAAAATCGGAGGCGTGGTCGGTAACATGCAAAAAGGTTTCGCTTGTGTTCGCGTTTTAAAATCGTCAATAACGTTTTTTTTCTATCAACTGAAAAATGTTCACAAGAAATCAATTAATTTTGATTGTCGATTTCAAGAAAAATTCATCTAAGGACTCGTATATATATATATAATATATATTATATATATATATATTGTGACGTACTGGGAAACGGTTTACTTTCACGACAAATAAACATTAAAGGACGGGTACCATTTCGGAAGGGTCTCCAGGGAAATTGACGCCTTCATTGGAAGAATATTCAAAAGAAATCATTTGATGCAATTAGAGATTTATAACTACACCACTATATAATAAGTTTTTTACAATCGCATTGCGCAAGCCTTTTTAAATGTTCGTGCACGAGTACACGCACCTTTAAGCTTCGATGTCCACGGCTGACTAGAGGCGAGCGTGGCCGCCGTGCAACGCGGCGGCGCGCTCGCAATCTCCGCTCGTCCCGAAGTTGTCCAGCCGATTTCGGCGCGTTGGTTCCGTGTACGTGGCCCCAGCAGTCAGCGGCGTTCCGTCGGCAGCCCCAAATTACAGCCTTCTCCTCAATCCCCATACGATTGTCGCACGGTGCGCCCCTGCTTGCCATTACATCCAAGCGGAATAGAATCTGTTCTACGATCCACTAAATTCCACTCGTTAATGTTTTTCACGATTTCGTCCTGGTTCGCACTACTTGTTCTTCTAATCATCTGATAATTATTTTAGCACCTCTAATCTCCCACTCAATAACTATAATCAGTTCCACCACTGTTGGGTAATTTCACCACACATTTGTTTGGGCATCACAGCCCATCCGCATGCACCCGCGGCTTCTCCGTCTATATTCTTCACCCGCGCTAGCGGCCCCCTCTCCAATATTACACCCGGCGCTCGTGGCGTCCAGTCGCTACTACACCCGGCGCTCGTGGCCAATCGTTCGCTACTACACCCGGCCTCTGGCTCCTTGTTCGCTACTGACTAACCGTCACTCGCGTCGCGCAACCGCCCCCCCGTTTACCGTTGTAGGCAGCGTGCGCGCGTCACTGCGCTATCGAATCAGCGTTTCTCTTCTTATAATTAATATCAGATTTTGCTATTATTATGTGAAACGTTCTTCGTTTCAATATATATATATATATATAGTATATAATATATATATTATAATATATTATATATCGATGAT